GGGCAGGGAGGGCCCCACGACAGAGAATACACCGTCCTTTTATGGTATGTTGAAGAGCTGTCTAACCTGAGGAAAATCGAAGGAAGATAAAGAAAAGATTAAGATAATTGTAATCGAATAAAAGGTTTTAATTGGTTCCCATCTGGTGTATGATGTGTTCTGGAGTAAAAAAAAATAAAAATAAAGAAAAACTAGTGATCTGAACCTTAATACAGCGAGTTACGGTAAATGGAAATTGAACGATTTTTTTACTGATTTTTCACTCAAATTTATGAACGTCTAGGCTCAAAGTTCGAAAGATCACGCCAACTGCCTTGATTAATTTGGTTTTTAATAAAGTTTGAAAGATCTTTCCTCCCTGTACATCTTGAGCGAGAACTTACCACTCTTAGCAGAAGCTAAGTACGTCATAATGAAACTAATGACCAGTGTCCAGTTACTAATGTATTTTTCCGCCCAGTAAATACTATCCCCATGCTATGTTTGCTCCGAGGAATCCCTTCTTGGAGGGAGAAAAGGACTCTAATTTTGAGTTTCGCCTGATTTAAGTGTAAGTAGATTAATTAGCGTGCAGGAAGAGATCAGTACAAAGAAAAACAAATTTTGAATACCCGTGGACAATTATCAACATGTACATGCACCTTTTAGAAATGATATTATAAACCCCAACTTGTCCATCATCTGCTCCAAATGCTAGCAAGCCTTCCTTGCTTGGATGCCATTTAACCTGCAAAAATACGGAAATTACATCTGTTCAGTGAATGTCTTTCTCACAACGGCGGTCTGGCCGTTAGGGGGCTGGATTCTGGACGGTGAGGTCTGGGTTTGAGCCTTAGCCGCGCCATGGCATTGCGGTGTTGCATCTACCTCTGTAATTTCACAATGTCCCTCTCCTCCCAGGGGGTAAATATGAATACTGGCGAGCCGCTTAGAAAACCTAATAAAGCGTTTGGGGCGGCAGCATTACCTATGACGAACCAGCGGTAAAGAGCCCTGGGATAAACATCCCCCCTTGAGACCTGACCTTACTCAAGTTCTAGATACTGAAGAGATGCGGTAAGAACCAGGCATAAAATTGACCAATAGGGTTTCGCTGGACAATACTCACCACCATCACTTTAGATTTGATCCCTTGCCAAAGAGTCAAAGCTTCGTATGGTCCAGCAGATGAGCTTGTTTGCCAAACTCGAAGCATGTTGTCCCCTACTCCTATCCCTACCGTACCGGGATCCAGGGGGGAGATGCCCAGCGAATATGCAAAGCCACCAAGGGTGGGGAGGGTTTGCAAGCTTCGTAAGAGTTGAGAATCCCAAATAACAATCTGAGGTATAATGGAAGGCAAGGAAAAAGGAAAAATTAGTGTGGCCTTGAGATAATTGCTACGGTTTTTTATTTTTTTTTCGCTTTGATGAGGAACAAACTGGGCTGTGATTATGACTTTTAATCTCTGTAAGTTTTAAAGAGGAACCGAACTATGTTTGACAACTATGAACAACGTGTTAGTCTAAAGATCGGCACCATGTCCAATGCACCAGTGGTTTCTGCGGATTTGGTTAAATTATCAATTTGTTGTACATCGTACATTTCTCCTTTCTACCATCCATGATGAAGGCGTCACACGCTGGCCGCGAGACGAGTAGAAAACAGTCGTATGCACACGCAGTTGGGAACTCGCACCCGTTGAGTTTTATAACTTTAACACCCCACTGGCAAGGAAGAAATAGGTAGATGCACACTGGACAGCAGAAAAGACGTAATTTTCTTTTTGCTTTTGCTAGGTTAACAGCGATAAACACGAGGCGGGCGTAGAGGACGAGGGGCTCAATTATGTTTCCTCCCTGCTCCTCACGCGTGTCACTCGTACTTCGCCTTCGCCTCACTTTTACTTCCACTCGTCTAAAAATGCAAAAACCTTACAATAATAACAATAATATTAATAATAATAACAATGTCAACAATAAAAAATAATAACAATAATAATAATGATAAT